ACTAACTTGTAACTAACTACTTTTGGACATAAATATCAATAAGAAAAACAAAATATTTTTTGTTTTTTTACTTTTTTATTTACTTATTTATTTTACTTTATTTTATTACATTTCATATTTGTTTACATATTCTGCTCGGGTGGCCCCATATTCGAACACCGTCAGACATAACTTCAAAATGATAGTATAAAATTTCGATCTTCCTTTTATTTGTCCTGAATATGAAAAAGAATCTGCGAAGTTCAGAAAAAAAGTGTATTGAAAGTAATTTTTGTATGAGGATATTTAATAGAAACTTGTAAAGAAAACCAACTCCCGATTGCGTCTGCATGACTCCTGCACGACTTTACAATTCACTTTAAGTTGGTTTTGTCATAGCTAATTAAAAGTGAGGTATTAATCGAAATCTCGCCAAAAAGCTAACTATTAGTTGGTTAGTTTTAACAATTGATAATTTTTCACTGCAGGGTACATATGTATGTAACCAGAACACCATAAACCATTGCAACAACTGCGGCCGAAGAACTCCGACGTTAAGCGACCAAACAAACATGCCTCCTCTTCCAGTGGAACTACTTCAGCCCATCTTCTCTGTCGCTGCCGGAAAGCAACAGAGGCACTTATAGCAACAAATGCACAAATAATAATTTTATGAGCGAAAATTGAAAAATATCGAATAACTCCGCCCTGCACAACCCCTACACACAACCACAATGCTCACTTTTCTCTGAGTTCACGCGCACAGTTATCGTTGCGCTAAATTGATAAAATCTAAAGAAAAGTGAAAAATAACGCATACATATGTCGAAAATTCCCTCTATTAAACCAGTATTTGCAGTTCTTCATTATTCTTTCTCCCTCTAGCACACTGCCTTTGCTTATAGGCGAATACGCTGCTGAAAAGATTTGACTGGTGGTGTTGGTGCTCGGAAGCGCAGCCATTGTCGTCCATATTGGAAACGACGTAGGTCATATGAACATACAAATGAATGTTTCACTTGCCAAATCGATTAACTCGGGTAACAAAAAGTTGAGAGATGCGATCAAATAATGTAGGTACAATATAAACATATAGTAATACTATAATAGTATGTATGTATATTTTTAAATTCCCTTTATAATTTAAATTTAAATAAATAATGTTATATATATATATATATTATATATTAGTATATATTATATAAAGTTAAAATAAATACAATAAGTTATGACTATATGTTGTTACCCACGGGTTTGACGCTCAAATTTAAGACTTGTCCAAAAGTGAAGTTAATCGATTTGGTAATTTAGGCATTCAAAAATGTATCTGAATATGTATGTATGTATGTTTGTAAATGTATTTATTTGGCAGTAAAGCGAACTGTTAATGAACAATTAAGGTAGTCAGAGTGGAAAAGTTTCGAAAGGGGAGTTTTCGACGAATGCTGAGTCCCTTGCAATAGATATGTACATAGTCTTCAAGTTGGTTGAACCGGTGGTGGAGGTGGTAGCGGCAACTTTACCAAAGCCAACAACGCTGTCTAAGGAATAGAATTAAGCGATTGTTTGATGAATTTCCTACTCGCTCGCACCAATGTCAAAGCAGTCGCGCTCCATAGTGATCTCCTTCTGGCATCCATCATTCAACACCTGGGCCGTGGCCGTCGTACGTTTAGCGATTGATTGCGGTTAGGCATGGCTGTGGTGGTGGTAGTTTTGTGGTGGCAATGGCAACAATCCCGTGCCAGTACATCGGCGCCTGTTCGCTCACTGATTCGTTAACTTATGGCTGCTTTCCGCTTACGGCTGTTGGTACATCGTTAATCCCTGTAGTTTGGTTTACAGGCGTCTAGGTTCGGGCGCTGCACTCAGTTCAAATTGAATTTTCATGGTGAGCGCTCGTTGGCAAGTTGTTGCGTTCGGTTCGGTTAATAGCACATTTCGGCATGTGCTACCGTCGGTGGTTCATTTGCTTGAGTTGAGATTTTATGGAGCTATTGCCAAGGGAGACGAGTAGGATGTGTGCGGTTCGGGTCCATTGGCAAGCGGTGGTAATTCAGTTGGCCGAGGTCTAAACCGGAATTCACTTCATCGGTTGCGTTGTGTGCCGAGCACGTTGCGTGCGACTGCAATTATTTTTATTAACACCACCACAAATTGAATCTTAATTGATTGGCACAATAAGCTAACAATAACAACAGCAATAATAATATCAAATTTCTATTTATAATAAGATTATTACGAAAGGAGTATGCTAACAAAAAGATTGTGAATACATACATGCATATGTAGATATATAAAAATATACGCACATACATACATACATACCAATATAATCGATATATGTGAATTCAGTGAATTTAATGTGTAACTTGGAGTGCCCAAAATTTTTTTATTAAAATATTTGCGATAATTTCATGCGAATTTTCTGACATTTCATGCGGCAACAGCAGCAACAATTCTTGTAGTGTGTTGCTATACACAAAAACGCTCGTGGCTAGTGAGCGTCTTCAGAATGGTGTTAGAGCAACAGCTGCAGCAACAACAACAAAATCTGCAGTTACAACGCATATCAACACAAGCGCGTTTAAGTCCGACGGCAGATACCGCCAGCAGTTCTGATAGCGTTGCGGTGAGTGGTGGTATTGCTTCCTCGTGTCCCGGAACATTCGCCCGCTCGACGGGTGCTGCCGCCACCATGCCGCCGGAAGGTTTACACCCGACGGCGGCTTTACAATTGTACGCTGCTGCAGCCCAGTTGGCTCCAGGCGGAGTACGCGTTCCGCCTTGGGGGCCATTCCTGCAATTTGGTGTGCCGGGTGTATTTGCCGGCCGCCCGTTTTTGGGCCGTCCACGTTTCGAGGCCAACTCGCAAAATGCTGCCGCTGCCGCTGCGGCCTCGCAAATGGCGGTAAATGCAAGTAATGCCTTCGCTAATCTAACGGGGCTAAGTGTGGCGATGCGGAATGTATCCGCCGTGCAAACTACTGCGGCTGCAGCTGTAGCCACAGTGGCCATTCAACACCGCTTAATGATTGGAAATCGGCAAAATTTGGCAGCGGGTCCTCCAAGTGAAGGATCAAATGAGGATGGAGGTGAGTGTAACTCATATGTGAATCATCGAATTAAAGTTTTTTTAACTTTATCTCATTTAGCTTAAAAGAAATATGTATATTAGGGTGCACCTTATTTTTCCACTTTGACCCACAACAGGTTCGACTAACTTAACTTAAGGGCTCTTAAGGCAAGTCTTTTCGTTATCCGATTTTGAAAATTTTTCGCAGAGCAGATTTTTGTGACCAAACGAACCTATATAGGGGCCGAGCTTCTCCTCCGTTTGTGGCGTGCGCCTTGATGTTGTTACACAAAGGGGAGGGGTCTACAGTTATACGCCGAATCCGAAGGGCGATTATATTTTTATGAGAAGCTGTTTTTCATGACAAAAGTACACTCGGAGGTTTGCCATTTCCTGCCGAGGGTCGACAGTGCTGCACAGTGGTCTGAATTGTGAATCTAGCGGGACAAAACTATTTCAACAGGTTCGTGTTGATGGATTTGTACACCACTTCGTATCCACTAGTTTATGAGACCACTGATTACAAATCTTCGGTCAGGTTTCAAAAAATCAATATGGCGGACAAATTTTTTAAAATTGATTGAATTCGTTCAAAACTTGTTACTTGGGGGTTTTAGGGGGCTCTGATTATGAATCTGCCAAGAATTTTTAAAATTAAAAATGGCTGATGCAATATGGCGGAGAAATTTTTCAAAATTGATTGAATTCGCTCGAAACTTGTTACTCGCGGGTTCTTGGCGCGATATTGGAGAAACTATTCTCAAAATTGAAAAGAATTGTATGGGTGTCTTAAAAGCGCTAAATGAGTATATTTTACCTTAAAGCCAACACTTCACAGAATTAGTTTTTATAAATTTCAAGTCGGAACTCAGCCAAACTACATATGTATGTATGTATTTAGTTTTTTTTTTCTATTTGAAAATGAAATTAAAATAATTTCAAGTTCAACTTTTCACGTTGAACTTACAAAGCTATAAAAAAGTTATTTACTAAATTTAAGAATTTATGAATTAATTTTTCTATTACCGATAATCTCTTCTCTTACTGGAAAAAGTTTATTTTTCAATAGACTCACCGTTACCCTTTTAATAACTAACTGAAATCGAAAACAAAAATGTTTTCTGCTACAGCTAACTGACTTGCATCGACTAACCAGGTTATAAGCTTAATATTTGTTATTAGTGAAAGAGATCAATTGTATTGAGAAGGAAGCCATGCCATTTTGACGCAATTCGCATTGACTTAGGTTTTTACATTTTGTCCCGCTAATTTAGTGAATCCGACCTGTGTGCGCTGTTAAGAAAACATGTTTTTTCTATATTTTTTGCGATGTTTCTTTGATCAGGGCTTGAACCCAGGCCCTGCGGAGTGTTAGCGCGCACAAGGGTATATACCTACGTATATATATATATATATATATATGTACGCCAAGCTGTAAAAATATTCCAATCGTATGAATGATGTGCAAATGTGGCAGTATGTACTATGTACATTTCTGTAGTTTACAAAGGCAGCCATATTAAGAGAATTATTTGATGTATTTAAAAAATTATGAGAATTTTGTATGAAAACTTATTGTTTAAAATGTGTATAAAAATGAGTTTTCTCCGAATAACCAAGACAAAAGACAATAAGTACGCGTAAGTTTTTATTACAAAATTTGATAACCAGGGACAAGGCTGCCAAGTTTCTTAAAGTATGTTCACATATCAATATTGTCTCAATCAAAGCTCGTTTTTTAATCACCCCATTTACAAAGGCAAATCTCTGATTATTAGCCGTCAAATTTGTTGTGCTTGTTATTCTCACATCTCAAGGAACAGTTATGTTTCTTTTCTGTTCCACCGCGATCACGTTTTTCTGCTATAATAAGCAATATAAATATATTTTAACTTAATATTTTATTAAAAATACCTTTACAAACCTCTTTTCCTTGCTAGCGTCCATTTTTGTTTACTTTTACATTTGGCATTTCTCCTCTTTTTCGCAAAAACAATCGATAAAACTAGGATGGACACCGAAAAGTTATGGGTTAAATCTGAGATTATTTAATAATTACAGATTAACAAGGGATGAATTTTATATGGCTAATCTCTTGTTCTAATTACAGATAAGGGTGTTCAGCTCGAAAATGAGGATAATCTACTTATATGTGTACCTAGTATTAAGCTGTAGAGTGCCATATTGGGGATTAAAAAGTTCCGAAGAAAAAATTAAAGAGCTAAAAAAGGTGTAAACATTTTTAATCTATGTAAAGTGCAAACATTTATTTGGTTTTATACAACTTCAAAAATAATACATTCAGCCTGGTGCAAACTTATAAACTCAAAATACAGTGTGCATTGCTGAGAGAGTTTCCTGATTGACAAATAATCTCTTTCAACTCTTCCTTTGAATAGTTTAGAAAATTTAAATACCATCTGTTTTTTTAATAGGGCGCAGAGAGATGAATTATAAATTTTCCAAAAAGTGCAATTTGAGCACTTTGTGCCAAAGACAAAACTCTGCTGAACACAGAAGTAAAATAGGGCCGAAAATGGAATGGCTTGAACCAAATTGGGAGTCTTGATTAGGGCCATTAAAGGCTGTCAATAAACTTTTTAGCTGATTTTAGATTAAGTGTTCATTTTGAAAACATATTGAAACCATAACGGAGCATAACAGGTAAATCGAGAAATTACTTCCACAGATCTGACGAAGATGGAGAAGATCTGGAAGATGTGTCAGTTCCATAATAGTTTTTTCTTAAGGGCTGAATTCACAGTACATAGTTAAACAATTGTTAACTTAACCGAATATCCGTTCGTAAATACGAATAAAATCCGAATAGGACGGCTAATATCCGTTCATTTTATTAATCGCATATTCTAAGCAGTAATTGAACAGATACGTAAAATTCTTTGCAAATGTACTAAATCTATCGAATTGCAGGTACTATAAATAAATAGAACACTTCATTAATACANTTAGTAATTTAACTATAAAAATTGAACCAAGCATTTGACTGCGGCTGGAAAGTGTAGGAAGATTAATAAGTTTTAATCGGCTCGTATAACGTGGAAGGTTATATTGAGAATCCCAACGGAAATTTCTTAAAGCAAAAAGTAGGAATTGTTTTTGAATTGATTCTATCTTGTCTGAGTAAATTTGATAACTAATGTTGTAATGGTGTTGGCATAAGCAACGGAGTGGGTCGTGCAATTCAAAATTAGTTTTACAAGCTTTCAGAAATAGGAGGCAAAAGTGTCTTGATACCCGGGAGGGAACATTAAGGCTAAATTCGCCAAGAAGAAGCGGGCTTGAAATTGAGCCTGTTAGTAATTTAACTATAAAAATTTAACCAAGCATTTGACTGCGGCTGGAAAGTGTAGGAAGATTAATAAGTTTTAATCGGCTCGTATAAGGTGGAAGGTTATATTGAGAATCCCAACGGAAATTTCTTAAAGCAAAAAGTAGGAATTGTTTTTGAATTGATTCTATCTTGTCTGAGTAAATTT